TCTGTTTTGAAGCTTTGAGTGTTCTAAAAGGCATCGTAAGTCGTCAGGCTCAGCCTGCTCGGTAGAGTTTACATCCTTGGAAAGGTTAGTGGTGTTGCGATCTGTGAATCGTACGAAGCCGCTGCGATTCTCAACATAGATGAGATAATTCGTTAGTATTGCTATGCCTCTCGAGGTTTTTAGGTGGAATCTTTATTCAACGGCCTAACGTTTCGACAGGGTCGTCTTCTTCAGAGGCCTAAACGTGTTTCGAGTTAAGGAGATGAACACTACCCCGTCAAGCGCCCAACCAACCCTAGCAGTTCCGATGACGTGTTCGGAACGTTAGGCCTTTGAATAAAGATTCCACCCAAACCTCGAGAGGCATAGCAATACTAACGAATTTAACAACGATGCCGAGGTTACAGCAAGAGAGAAGCTGGAGAATAGATGATATACGTGGCACATCCCAAAAGGGATTACTCAGCCCTCAAAATGAAATTCAAAGTAGGACTTCGTGTCGCTTTGTATCCCTTGGTCTTGTAGACTACCCATGGTTGACACTGTAGTCTTATAATTATAATGAGGTTGGCTGCACTTTTGCGTGAGATATGACTTTTCCACAGCCACAGCGAATAATTACGACACTTATGTGGTAATTAAGCGGCTGATGGGATAAAGTTCAGCGAGGCTAGCGAGTTCTGGTCTTTTCCGGGAAATTTGATGGCACTGTTACAATCTAAAGTATTTTGGGCGCTATTTGGCTTGTGGGGGAATTTTGGCATTTTGTCAATTTTCGTTGAACGCAGCTAATACCTCGTGGTCGCATTTTGTCAGGTCTATGAACTCGTGTAGACTTATGAATTTCTGTGAAGCTATGCGACACCTCAAGCCTCCTTCACCCTTAACAAGAATCTACAGGTCTCACCAAGCCGGGACGTGTATTTTAACGAGAACTAGCAGCGGAAACTAGCATAAGTGCGAAATCCCCCTCTCGAGCCGAACAGCGCCCTATCTTTTGTACTATCCCGAAAATTTCTAGAGGAATATCTCGCTCAAGATAAGTTTAAAATCTCGCTCAAGATAATTTAAGGCTAATATGAAGAGAAATCCAAAAGTGCGCCCATGTAGGCTTCATACTTACACGTTCTTCGTCATTGTTCTCGCTTTCACATAAGCAGCTGCGTTCAGCAGTGTTGACAGCACGTTACAGAATATATTCGTAATGTAGACAAAAGTCGAGAATCCTTCGCCGAATGTCGCCTTCCGACCGCAATGGTAGTGGGTCGGGTGATCTGCATAGACTGCCGTCGTCACGGCGTATATCAACGAGACGGCGACGAATACCGCACTCACCAACGGTACCATGACAAGTCTGAAAGAAATGACCTTTATTTGACCCCGTCAATTCCGCGAATTCATCCCATGAGTTGACTTCACGAGAGGAATCTCCTTGACAATGGTGCCCTCCTCTTCGGTGTCTGCTTTAAGTCAGAGGGAGGAGCTTCACCAATATGAAGCAGGGAGCATCATCGAGGAACACAGAGACATCAGTATGACTTCTCCTCCCTCTCCCCCAGAGTGGGTCTCGGTACGACTCTCAGTAGAGGAGGTAGCTATCTGCGCTCTGTTTCTAAAGCACCGGCGAAGCAAGTGACTGAATCATGCGCCTTCAGAAGGCTGAGAAACGTCCCCTGTTCATCCCTTTTCCGCAATGGTCTCCAGCTCGCTCCTGGCCCTTTGTCCTCGAGTAAACAACAATAAAATAAATTAATAGGATTTTCCTTCAGAACCCTGTGTATATGCTGAAAACTTACTTTATCGGCTTCCCGTCTATATTCATGCGATAAAACAATGGAAACCATAATGCTAGAAATCGCTCGATACCCATCCAAAATATAGTCACCGGAATGAAGAGATCTCCTGAAACTTGGGAATGTTTCCGAATTTATCATTTATGGTTGGGTATGGCTGGA